CCTTTCAAGTTTCTGTGGAACCAAGAGACCTGTGTACCACAAGTGCACAGGCTACAGACAGGTGCCACAGGCTATCAGCATAGAGGGTCCAGGTGAGAGACTAGCTGGGGCCCCAGATGGTGTTCAGAAACATGTGGAGTAAGACCAGGTGACCGGCTGAACCTTGGCTTCCTCAGTAGCAGTGGACTCAACCCTGGTGTCTATGGATCTTTGGGGCCAAAATGTCTGTCTGTCCTGAGTCTCTTTTAATGCCGAAGCCGGGTTCCATTCCAGCTTCTGACACTTCTGGTAGCATGTGAGGTAAAGGCTTCAGGTCCCCAGTCTTGGTTTCCCTGTCTGTGGATGGGACATAGCAGTGCATTTTGGAGGTGAGAGTTGAAATGGAATCATGAACAACAAGTTCTTAGCACAAGGGAAGAGGGGCGCCTTCATGTTGGGATTTCAAAGGCGAGTCGGAAACTGGAGGAGAGCAAGGGAAATGATTAAAGGGATAAAGAAAACGTTGGAACAAAGCATTCCCTCATACCCTGCTGGGAGTTTCCCATGTTCCTTTTGTGCCCTGTGCTGGTCTGCAGAATGGCCCACCAGCAGCATGCCTCTAATCAGATCAGCCCCCCACTGCACATTCTCTGATGGCTGCTGCCTTGGACAAGATCAAAGTCAAGTGCTGCAGCCTGCCATCCTTTAAAGAGCTCTCATGCCGCGGGTCTCTGTGGTCCATTCTAGTGTGTCCAGTATACACTGAGCCATCACAGGGTACAGACGGGCGATAGGTCCTTGGGTGTACTTTTCTGAGTAAGCCCCGAGCTATGAGCGTTAGAGATGAATACCCAGGTCTATCACATTTTGCCATTTGTTTCTTACTATGTTTAGCCAAAGTGTTACCATAGGTCATAAATAAAACCTGCCTTCTTTCCAATTGGCCACAAGCCCCACTACTTTGTATTGCTTTACTGTTGTGTTACTACGTCCACAGGTGCCCACACATGTGGAGGTCAGAGCGCAATCTCAGCTCGTGTTCTTCTGATGTTGTTCACCTTGCTTGTTGAGATAGAGTCCCTAATTTCTTTAGAATTCTCCAAGTATGCTAGACAAGGTGGCTAGGAAGTCCCAGAGAGCCATCTGTCTTCAATTCTCCTGTCTGGAGATTGTCAGTGTGTGACAGACAGCACACCTAACATTTTTATGTGGATTCCAGGGCCTCATAGCTGCAAGCAACCCTTCCATTGGCTGAGCCATCTCCCTAACTTAGTGCTTTACTTTGTACAATGTGTCACTGATTCCCAGTAATGTCTTTCAGAGATGAACCTTTTGTCAGCTTGGTGTTTATCCTACAGACTCCTTTTAGACAAGTATCTGTGCTTATATGGGGGAGGATAAATAATGTATATAGATATTAGCTATATTAATATTTGTTCCTGTCTTATTCCTGCATTGTGTAGTGTAACTTTCTTTCCTTTAGTGTGTGTGTGTTACACACTTGTGTCCATAGAGGTGTGTGCCCATGCACATGTGGAGACATTGCATCATATTTTAACATATAGATGTGTCACTGTTTATTGGGCTTGCAAGACTGTCTACCCTTTTGCAATTCGACTTCATCCTCTAACAAAGTTTACACTTGAGAATCATGCAATAGCGTGGTAAAAAGAAGTCGCCAAGATAAGACTTTAGAATGTTTAAGTTTACAGTTGTGTCAAGTCACATTCACAGCTGTCCTGGGCCACGTGCTCCCCATGGTGGCAGGTTGGAAGCACACTGGATCATAAACTTGATGTTCAACAGCCACTTCTAGGGTACTTAGACTTTATTTGTCAGGAGCCACATGTTGCTCGTTAAAAGCTGCTGCAAATGGCTTTAGCTGGGGTAAGGAATCTCTGGTTCCACATAAGCTTGGCTACTTTGATTATCTTGTCCTCTTATAGGTATCTGAGTGTGCAACCCTATATTTTAGCCTCTATAGTGTTTTGATCATGCTAGCATCATGTTAGACTTTGTCACAGGACCTGTGTGCATATTAGGTGTGTTTGCAGCAATTGCCTACCTGGGGGGTGTGACCAAAGGATTTTACAACAGAAAATGCACGTAGGAAACATGCTCAGATGATGAAGTAAAGGAGACAAGAGGGGTCGGCTGAGGACTGCACTGCCTGCCCATGCTTATGAGGGGTTGACTAAGGACTGCACTGCCCATGTTTGTGAGGGGTCGGCTGAGGACTGTGCTGCCCTTGTTTGTGTGTGGAAAGAGGATCTGAGGCTTCCTGAAATCTGCAGCTGTTGAATGTCAGATTTATCTCTCATTACTCCTCTTGGGGAACCACGGAGAAAAATCTACACACACACACACACACATGAAGACAATGCAGCTGAGGGATCTCTTTGTCCTTAAGGGATGTGGCAATGGTTACAGCATCCCAGACCCTTCCAGAGCTTTGTAGGGAGGGAGGTATGACATAAATCTGGCCTGTGGTCACCATTACTCCTCATGGTGCTTTCCCCAGATCACAGCCTATCAATTGTTTGGCTATGGCTCACAGACTCTGTTGGGTGAGGTCAGCCTAGAGGTTTGGGAAGCTAATGAGACAGGGGTTATGTCTGCTAGATGGTTCTGGGAAGAGCTGATGCCTTCCTGGTGAGTGTGGGTGAGATGATGCAGGCTGGCGTAAGCTGCAGGGGCAGGGGGCTGGTCCACTAAGTCAGGGACCATGTCTTCCTAAGCAGTTTTGCTGGATTCACAGCTGTGAGCTGGTTCCAGTCAATGTCCAAGGCAGCTGCTATGGAAACACACACATAGGTAGCTTTCACAACAGCAGTGGAGGTTTGTGGGTCTGTAGGCTGCAAGTTCAAGGTCAATGGCCTTACAAGAGCTGTTGGTCTTATAGGTGACTGCCTTTTCACTGTGTCTCTATATGACCTTTCTTAGTGTGTGTGTGTGTGTGTGTGTGTGTGTGTGTGTGTGTCTAGACAGAAAGCAAAGCCTCTGGTATGTTATTATATGGGCACCAATGTCACCAGGACTTTGCCCATGTGATATCATCTCAATGGACAATGTGGTCATTTCCTAAGGACTCACTTCCACTCATGTTCATGTAAGGTTTAGGACAATCAATGTGTGATTTTGGAGAATTTAATTCAGTTATAATTCTGTGTACACTCAACTCCTTATCACTTTTCATTTTAGACATTGTGTTGAAGATTAAATTAGGGCCTCATTTATCCTAATCAAGTGCTCTACCATTGAGATATATCCCCATCCTTTACATTTTATTCTGAGGGTTGGTCTCACGAAGTTGCCACACTTCCCTTAACTCCCTCTGTGGCCCAGGAAGGTCATACTCTTATGATTCTCCCACCTCAGCTTCCTGATAAGTTGGGATGATAGACACACGGCACTGGACTGGCTGGTAGTCTGATTTTCTGATAGGAAAATGACATTGAAGTTGCCCAAATCAGTCTCAAATCTCCAGGAAAATTGCAGGCAGAAAGTTTGTAAAAGTGATTTGGAAAACTCAAATACCTGGGGGTCTGAAAGTGGCTCTGTCAGTAAACTGCTTGCTCTGAGGGCATGAAGACCTGCATTTGATTTGTAAAACTCATCTAAAAAAGCTGTGTATGGTGGCACGTGCTTATAAACCAAGATCTGAGGAGGTGGAGACACGTGGGCCCCTGGGCCTTTTTGTCTATCTGGTCCAGTTTGGTCTCTCTGAGAGACCTTGTCTCCAAAACTGAGGTGAGTGGTATATTAGGAACAACACCCAAGAAAGCATGGTTTTCACCTCCACAAACACATGTTCACATACATGCTCACACATGCATGACTCACATATACATACATACTCATACAAAACAAACAACATAATATGAACCTGGAGAGATGGCTCTGTGTTTAGGAGCACTGGCTGCTCTTCCAGAAGACCCAGGTTCAATTCCCAGCTCACACCTGCCTGTAACTCCAGCTCCAGGGGATCCAATGTCCTCTTCTGACATCCACAGGCACCTGAACATATGCACACACATGCATGCACACATGCAAGCACTTGCACATGCATACACATTTGCACACACATGTAATGAATCATGAAATCCTGCTAACCCCTGGAAAGATGATCCTTTCACTAAGGCTAATGTGATCTCAGTGGCCAGCGTCTCTATCTGAACTTCCTGTGTGTTGTGGGCTTCTGGGTAGATGCTTGAGATGCCTTTATCTTGGAATCAAATCTAATTCTCTCTACTTGATAACTTTCAGATCTTGGGGAAAGTTACCCCTAAGTTTTCTAAGCCCTGGTATTCTCATCTATGAAGAGGGGATAATAAAAGTTGTTCTGGGGTTTTAATGAGAAAAAATATGAAGAATTTGGCACATAGCCTTCCAGGACTCCTTATTTCACAATATTTGAAGCATTTTGCTAAAATGGAGGCTACAGTTGCTGCTGACACTGTAACTCTCATAGGGCTGGCTCAGAACTTAAGAAACAAAGTACCCTCAAAGTTGTCATTAATGAAAAAGAAGTCCTACCAGTGCCTTTGGCACCTTGATGTTCATTTAATCCTCCCTGTGTGACTTTGCCAATGACCTTCCCCCTTTTGCTTCTTGGTAAACTTGGTGTAATTTGTGAAAATACTAATTGTCCTCTTTACCTTTCTACAGGACTTTGAAGATGAATCTGTTGTGATGAAGTTGGTGGAAATGTGTGTTTGTGTGTGTACCTGTATGTGTGTTTTTGTGTGCCTGTGTATAAATGTCTGTGTCTCTGTGGGTATATTTGTATGCCTTTGTGTCTCTCTAAATAAGTGTGTATATGTGTGTGCAACTTTAGGTCTGTGTATGTGTTTGTGTCAGTGTGCACGTGTGTGTGTGAGTGTGTCTGCACATGCTTTTATGGGTTGTTCCCTAGCCCTCTGGCTGTAATAAATTATTGATGACAGTTCCTTTAGAAAGACAATTAATGCAATTACCTTTTTGTTGAATCAATACTAATGTCCTTTTTCTTTTATGTGCAGGTTTTGGCGAGTCCTGTTGCTGGCCAAGCTGAGGTAGGAGACATATCTTTGCTGTCTTTGGGGGACATTTTTTAAGTGGGTTCCTTCTTTGCAGTGAACTGAGCTTCCTGACTGTTCTTCTCCCTGGGATTTGGTGTTTAGGTTTGCTGTCTGTGGCATGTTTTCTGTGGAACATTCTGCTTACACAACATGCTCTGAGCAGCTTAGAATGGTGGTGGCGATGTCAAAACTGGTCTGCTTGTCTTGGAAAGTCCTTCCTTTTCTCCCCCATCATTCCAGGGCCTGATGGAATTTTGGCAGATGCTGAGGGTGTAGGAGAAGAATATGTTAGCAGATGTTGGTCATGGGTCTCCAGCAAAGTATTCACGGCCTGAAAATTGTCCATAGTGTCATGGTTATCCCAAGAGGGCATCCACAGAGTCTCTCCTCTCTTATTCTCAAATCAAAACCTGGAGAAGGCCAAGTCTGGTGACCTGGATCTTGGGGGTCCATCTGTTCATCGTTTTTACCACTCCAAACTACAGTGTGTCTCCTCTGCTCTGTCCCATGGTTGATCTTGCAGACCTTACAAAGCATGAGGGGCCACTCAGGACTGATGGGTAGGACGGTTCTCTGCTGTTTCACAAGGTGTGTGGTGCATGAGTCATGCAGGTCTGTACTGAACATGAATAGTGAAGTGAGTAAGGCAGAGAGATCAACACAAAGGGTCAGGAGCTGCAGAGAAGGTATGGAGACCAGGAGCCCCAGTCTTACCTGGCTCCTAAGAACTCGCACCTATTTCCCAATAACCCTGCAACCACTTGAACAAGTTATGTACAGAAACATTACTTCCTCATTTTCAGAATAAAAATTACAATACACACCTCATAGAGACTCAAACATTATTTATTGATTGATTTGCTTATTTTGTATAAGTGTTGTAGAGGTCAGAGGAGACTCTATGGGAGTCACTTCTCTCCTCCCACCATGTATATAGGCCTGGGGATAGAATGCAGATTGTTGAACTCAACAGTAAGTACCTTTACCATCCTAACCATCTTGCTCATACCTCCACCCGTGAGGCTTCTGAGAACATGAAGAGGATGGTGGTGGTCACTATCCAGGTAGTTTACAGGGAGCACAATGCAGAGTTCAGTTGTTAAGCACCTGCCATGTCTTCAGCATTACAGAAATGCTTTCATTGCTGTGCTATAAAATACTCAGAAAAATCTTGGATTATGGCCACTGTCTCAATGTCCATTTCACAGACAGGTAACCTGAGGCTAAGCGCACTCAGACTTTCCAAGACTCATTCAACGAAGGAACAAAACTGAGTCATGTTTGTCAGGGTGCGGTGTTGAACTCTGATTTCCACCATGTGTTAGACAACCCAAGTTACTGCCTGGTGCACAGATCTTGCTACTTATTAAGGGCCACTTTTGAATACCAGACCACAAGATGGCTTCCTGTGATCAGAACCATGGTCACCTGCCTGCTTCTTAGGCTTTATTATTATTATTATTATTATTTATCTCCTTCCCCTCCCTAAGGCGTTCTCTTAAGATTTTGCCACACAGGACAACTGAAAATATCCAGCCAATGGAAAACAAACAAACAAACCATGTTATTAATAAAAATAAACCCTTGTGTGTTTCCTGTTCCTCCCCTTCTATTTTTTAGCAGCCTTCTGTGTCAAGACATTTATCACTGTAGCTTTGATTAAAAAATATTGGTTGGGAAGGCAGAAGTACTTTGTGTCCTGATTGAAATGAAGCTCGAGAACTGACTTGATAAGCCTCCTTCTTCTGGCAGAGCTACAGAAAATGCACATTGCTGTCCACCAGCTGACACAGGCAGGAGCGTCCGTGGAGGTCTTATTCTCATAGCTCTATGCTGGAATGATACGTTGCCCATTAGCCAGTTCATAAGCAAATCAAGGTGTAGGATGCAAGGCCAGTCCAGATCCAGCCACGGTTATGGCCTTAGGAACCACAGAGATGGACTGCCGAGTGAGGAAACCCCTGGACTGACTGGAGGAATGCACCCTGTATTTCATTTGCACACAGGAGAAACAGGCGTCATTCATCTCAAGTGATAAACTGAAGGGGTCTCTGGGAGGGGGTATTTCTGGGTAGTGGTGGCAATGCTTTACAGCTTCTTTAGGATTTGTTCATATGGCTCAATTCCATGTGCAAAATGGGTGAGTTTTGTGTTTAAGGTGGATGTGCTTTTGGCATGTAATTTGTAAAACTTGGGAAAATGAGTCTATTGGGAAACATAGAAAGAAGGCAATGAGGACTGGAAAAAGGAGGAGAAAGAGGAAAGAAAGCAGAATTGAGGGGAAGGAAGGAGAGGGAGGAAAAAGAGGAGGCGGGAGGTGAGAACAGGGGTGTGAAGGAAGACTTTCATGGCTGTGGACAAACGGCGAGCAATGAGGGAAGAAAGATTTACTTTGGCCTACAGATTCAGAGCATTCGTTCTGAGGACACTTGTTTTGGGCAGGACACCATATGGAGGATGGTGTGGTAGGAAAACAGCTGTTCATGCTGTGGCCTATAGGAAGTAGAGGCTGGAATCAGAAAAGAGGAGAGGGATGGAGAGAATTAAGGATGCGAGTACCCTGAACACAGGTGAAGCCTCAGAGCAAACACAGTTCATTGACTCATCTGCTGATTCATTCATTTATCTGCTGAGTGTCCCTCCCCCGGGTAGAGCACATATTTTAAACAGTCTCCTGTTTTCTAACTGTTGTCTTGAAGTCTAAGTTGTCATTGTTGCAGCCAAAACCTATTTGTTTTTCATGACTGTAGGGAGGTAACCTTTTATTAATTGAATTTCTAATGGCAATTCATCAAAGCAAGTGGTCACCATTATTTCATGTGAGATCTAAATTCATGAGCAAACAGCATGTTCTTGTGTTCTTGTACGTGAGTAACGATGGGTTAGGTAACGGCATCGGGGAGGACCTTTTCTGTCTCCAGTCACTTTTCTGCTTTTATGTTTTTTTTTGCCTAAATACAGACAAACAGTTGTAACTTAAGCAGAACAGACTCTACCTGTGGCAGAGACGTGGGTTAAAGGGAAACAAAAAGAATTACAAGCCTGCAGAGTGAGTGTGTGAATGGCTTCGCCAGCTCTCTTTTCTCTCTGCAGATTGACAGTGAATATGTGAATAACGTTTGCTAAATCCGGACTCAGGAAACATGACAGCAAGCTGTCTGTGCCAGTAGCTCCTCACGGCATATGCCACCCCTCCCTCACCACACACAGTTTTAATAAGACACCACACGGGCAATAGAGAGACATTAAAACCCTGCCGACAGAAAAGCTTTATCTTCCAACCAAATTCTGTGCCTTGCAACGTTGACGACAGCTGAAGAATTTATCTTAAATTCCCTCTGCTAGCTGCAGAGCACATGGCCTCTTTGTCCCCAAGCAGCCTATAAGAACCAAACTAAGATGTCACATACATAATATAACAGATAAATGGCCCAATTTCCACGCGCACATGACGGATGGAGTGCAGGCTCAGCACATACATATTTGCACGTTAATTGGCCCTGCGTGGATCCGTTTTGAACCTAAGTTGCAACTGCATGGCTCCCAGGTTCCTTCCCCTCGGGAATCATTAAGCCTTCTTTATCACACAAATGCATACACATTTCCCCCTATTTATCGTCACGCAGCTTGCCCTGCCGCAAGAGAAACCAGGTTACCTGGGCTCAGCCATTGCATTGCAAGTGTTTCTGTTGGCTTCTCTCAAACACAGACTGCATGGAAGCACAAAGATCTGAGACCCAGCCCACGTTGGCTCTGCTGACAGCCAGACAAAGGACTCTGCTGGCCAGGATGTTTGGGAAAAAAAGAAAAATTATTTCCATTCAGTTAACAGTTGTTTTTTATTTTGCTTCGCCTTAGCAGTCGCCTGTTGATAGTTTAATGGTACTATAGACCCAGTGGAGGGCCTCCATTTTGATAAATGGGACAGCTTCTGTTTGAGGGCAGAGCAGTCGAACTGGATTGATTGATATTACTGTTTTGTTAGCCCAAATAATTGCAGTGGCAAACGACACAGGTGGTGATCACAGTGGCTCTGGGAGAAGTAGGTAGAATGTACCTCCTACCGATTTTCTTCTCTTCCTTTCAAAAGAAACTCTATTCCAAGCCAAAGAATCATTTATTTTTCCTGTCTCAAGTCTGTGCCTCAAGGAAGCTAATCAGGAGCTGTGAGCCAATTAGAAGCAGTCTGGTCTGTTTGGGAGAGGCCACTGCATTCGAGAAGGGGCTGAGCTGCCATGGCTGTGAGCAGACCAGCTCTGGTCACCTGACTCGTGGAAGAGCTCAGTGCTTCTCACAAAGAACATGTGAGCTTTGGCATTAGGGTGGCGGGGGATTGAGTCTGGGTCTCATAGAGGCATCTAGTTCACCGCTAACCCTTCTGGAACTGAAGTCAATCACTCAGCTAGCCTTCTACCTGCAAAGTGTGGTGATTGTCACACAGAATGGTGAATTAGCCTTTCCTCACGGTGACAAAGCAGCTGCCATTACTTAAGGGAAAAAGGATGTGTGTCAGCTTATGGTTCCAGAGGGTGAAGTCCATGGTTCCTGGTTCTGTTGATGCTGGTCCACAGTGAGGACAAACATCATGGTGGAGAAACCTTGTGGTTGAGGCATGGCAGACAAAGGGCAGAGAGTAATGGAGACAAAGGAAGTCTCTGGGGGTGAATGGTGTTCCCAAGGTTGCACCTACTGTGGCCTACATTTTCCAACTAGGCTCTACCTCCTACAGTTTTCAGAAACACCAAAAATGGCACCACCACCTGGGGACCAAATCTTCAGAAAATTATCCTTTTGAGAGAATGCCTAATATCAGGTGGGAACTGTAAAGAGGTCAACTAGTATGTGATGACTATGAGAGCCTGGCACCAAGCAGATCTTCAGTAATGGTTTCCTCTCTCTCTGTCTCCCTCCCTTCTTTCCTCTTTCTCTCTCTCTCTCTCTCTCTCTCTCTCTCTCTCTCTCTCTGTGGGGGGCGACAAGAGTTGTTACTCCCT